TCAGTATTTGTTTGCTCTCAGTACCAATTTCCAATGTTTATTACATAGATTTTAAGTATGTAAAACTACGGTATGTCTGGGTAAAATCTTCGATCAACTTTGTAGTTTTCTTGTAATTCAAATAAAGTCCTCCGTTTTTTTTTTTTTTTTTTTAGTAAAGAAATGTAGAAAGAAATGCTTTCAAACCTTCCACATATTTTTAATCCCAAATTATTTACCATAAATATTGTTTCTAAAAAAAGGAAAATTTCTATTGCTACCATTATTTATTTATAGGAACATTAAGTATTTCCTTATTGATTACTAGATACGAGAATAACATGTACTGAATTATTTAATATTTTATGCTACAATAATAATACCTCCAATACTAATTTAGAATCGCACGAAAAAGAGTGATTCATTCTCAGTGAAACTCAGAAGTGTTTAAATTCGCTTTTACTTTGCAAACAATCATATGACTCTTAAAACAACTTGTGTTATAATTTAACACCATCTTCAATTTATAAATTCTGCTTTCGAAATTGAAACTCGGATTTGTCTCAATGAGTGACTTTTTCAAGTGTAAGAGTTTCTTCAAGTAAGAAGATTTTCGAGATAACTCGTGCATCCGAAGTTTTGACATGTATTCCAAAACAAGATTTATAAAGCTTAACTTTCGAAACATTTTAGATTTCCAACCTAACAGTTAAAGTTGGTGGGACTCGGAAAAGAAACCTCCTACACAATATGTTCAAGAGTATTTCATATACGACTTTCGTTAGCCGTAGTTATATTCAGTATATTCATAGAAAATATCGTCGACTCGCATTAATGCGTTTTAAACTCAAATTAAGCCTTAACACGTAGGGAGTTTTGACTGCAGCTCTAAAGAACGAAGCGAGCCGTTGTTAAGTAAATAATTTACATATCACTGATTATATTTATACAGTACAGTATTTCCTATGGTTTATTAGATATTTTGTATTGCCAATAGCTGTGTTTAATACAGGATTTCCCGGAATATTTACCAATATTTTATGGCATTGTTTCTGAGTAAGAAACATATCTAAATATCATATTTAAATTGCCCGGAAGTCCTGAGTTACTCACAAAGCTGCTATTTTTTTCACTTATTCATATTTTTTTATAAAAAATAGTTAAAAATACAAAATTGAAACTTTGCACAAACATTTATGACAACTAGGCAAAACTAAAAAAGTATGACAATTTTACAAATTCATAAAACAAAATGGCAGCTATTTAATATTTTGTTTCTTAAATTAATCAAAAACCGTTGATTTTATTAAAGTTTTAAATGACCGCCATTTTGTTTTATGATCTTGAAAAACTGTCATATTTTTTTTGTAGTTTTGTATACTGTCATAAATGTTTTTGCAAAGTTTAGAGAAAAATAATAAGTGAAAAAATGGCGGCTGTGTGAGTAACTAAGGACTTCCGGACAATTTGAATATGATATTTAGATTTTGTTCTTTACTCAGGAACAACGTCCTAAAATATTGGTAGAGAGTTCCGGGACACCCTGCATGTCTGAACAAAAATAAAGAATGATGCAAATATGTCGTGTGTATTTTTTGATCAAACAAAAGTTATGTCAAAAAAATATTTAACACATGTATTTTTGCAACGATCTAAGGTAGAGGAAGAAAACTCAGAAAGAGAAATGTAAGACCATCTCCATGTAATATAAGCAACGCTCAAGACAACGAGAAAAACAAATTAGAGGTTAGGTGCTAAACTGCTCATGTATAATGGAGACAGACAAATGATTGAAAAACAAGTCTCTTAAAATTTGTGTGTTTCTAGTTTGATTCACCGTGACAAACAAAATCTTGTTGAACTTAAAATGAGTTAAACATATTCAAAATAGTTCATTCTATGAACGGTATATTTAAAAATTTTGCGCGGAATCATTGGAATTAATTTAACTTTCAAATTCCCAAAAATCTGTGTTATTTCCAGTAGGTTGGGTCAATTTTCTGCACGATATTTAGAAAAAAGTATACAAAAAACCTTTAGCGTAAACATAATAGTAGTGATCTAACTTTTGGGATTATCTTTTCCTCTTCAATCTTCCCACAATGCAATGCAGCCTACAGGCAGATTATACCACAGCTTTAGACTGATTGCTCGACTTGTCTAAACTGGCGCCTCAAGATAAATTTGAGTTTAATGTTTATATTCTTGAAAGTTTATACTTTTCTACCATTAGATTTTATTTAGGATAATTAAGGATCAAAAAAAATCTGGAACCCTTTAGGATCTTAATATATTTGGTCCAGAATAATACCTATACTAAAATTCTAGCTATGGTTTTGATATTTGTTACATTTTTGTGTCTTGGGGAATACACTTATCCCCTAATTGTTTTATAAAACGCATTCATTATATCGTACTACGCATTAAGGTTCCAGTGCAATATAGTAAATTCTGACGCCAAAGTTAGTAAGGTAGCTTTTGTAAAAAGTAAACATTAAAACGACTTCTTTATTACAACCATTTAAAAACGTCAAAACTTTTAGTTAATGTACACTTAAATGCAGTCCTCTGGTGAATTTTGTCTTTTTTAGAGGTTGGCGACCTCTTTTATTTAACTTTGCATTTGTCCGTCCACATAGATCTCTGCGTGGAACCATTGACTGTATATACCTACGTATCCAGTGAAGCAAGGGGTGAGCCGGTACAGTTCGAAGGTGAACTGCACTGATAAATTTTAGAGACAGTTACCAAGATCCGAACCCACGACATCGCTGTCTTGGGCCCGAAGTCAGTAACGCTACTAACTGAGCCACCGACTCACCAACATTAAGACTTAACTAAGTTAATTTACTCCTTGCATCTATATAATTTAATTTTTAACAAGGTAAAATTAAAAAAAACTTAGTTTTGTAGACGTTTAAAACTATTGCGTCACAGTTTGGGGTTTATTAAAGAGAAAAATCCCATTTTACAACATTTGTGTTGTCAATTACATTCAGTAATTAAATATTTAAACTAAAGGTTTTTAAAAAGGATGCAAACTATTTGTAATCTTTCCTTCACCCATTATTTTTACATATATTTGGTAGAACTGTAAGTGATTTTTGTATCTCCTCTTGTTTATAACTTAAATCATATTACCATGCGATGATAAAGTATGACTTCAACCACGTTAACAGTTACTCAAAATATCAAGTTAATTAAACCACAAAGCTTTAAAACTTAATAAACTCTCTGTCAGGCTAACATCGGTTTTATGAAGCACGACGATTTTTCCAATCGCTGCTGTTAATTTGAACATTTTAATCAAGCTGGTGCAAATCGGTTAGAACTTGACAAGTAAAATAGATTTAACTTCAGATTCATTTCGCTTAGTTTACTGGAAATATATTTAGATTGTTAATCATTACCCTAAAATAGTAACTGACCTCTGATTTGGTGTGGTTTAGAATTTATCCTTACATCATACAGTTTTAGAGATTCTAAATTATTTTAAAAGCTACAAATTTAACATTGGATGAATTTGTCCCGATTTTATCAATATTCGTTTAAAATGTATCCTCTAAAGATTCATTTTTAATATTTTCATTCCAATGAAAATTATCATGCAAAGATATTGAATATTGGGAAAACGTTTTAATTTTACTCCTACAAATAAAAATCACCATTTGTGACATTTGAATGCTGTACTCAGAACATTTAATTGTCATTATGTAAGTTATCACTTGCTTACATGTGTATACAGGTACCAACTGATTAAAATAATATCTTAATTGTTGCCAACTGAAGAGGGGGTCGAGCTGGTCTACTGGTTAGAGCACGGGACTTCAGTCCCTGAGGTCCTGGGTTCAAATTCCACCAAATCACCTATGAATTTTATCTAAGTGATAATTCCACAACCACTAGTTCCAGCCTGAAATAATGTGAAAACCTATTTAAAACCCGTACCTTGTGTCCTATGATAAAAAACATGCACAGCAGTTTTATAAATTCAAAATGAAACATCACACTTTCATTATAAAATAATGAAATTCACTTGCATCACTTCCGATAAAAACATGTTAATCAACCATAAAATAACGATCTGTTGGTTTCAATTCTCTCGTTCCCATTTTTATTTCTGATTGATGACGATATCGAGGTTATTTTAATCATACGCCACTGAAGTGATTATGTTTGATTTTTAATCAACAGTATTGTACATATTAACTGTTCTTTTTATTCCAAAATAATATTTTCTTTAAAATATTATTTTGTTGAAGTTGTTGAAACCACTTCTCAAAACCTGGTGATCATTTAATTCAAATATTAAACTTTATTAAAATTCATTTTTTATTGTAATTTTGTAAACGTAGTACGTGCAAGTAAAATTAATTGTTTATGACTGCGGAACATATACACATATACATAATTACATGCTTAATGATAAGTTTGAAGGATCTCAGCATTTCCTGCAACTTTAGAATAATTATTTTGTCAAAATCTGATCAACTGCTACAAACCCGTCAGCTATTGATCATGATCTTAGTCCCACAAGAGAAATATCTTACATTTTACTAAATAAAATATGGTGAGTGAAAGCGTTTTTCTATATATATTCTTTTATAATTTGTTATTGCAGTTGCAAAAGTCTTATTTAATCTTACGGTTCGAAGGAACTTGGCTTAGGAAACTGTCGTAACCTGACCGTTACGTTAGAACACAAGAAAAGTGGACAGTAATTAAGAGAGAACCACTTACTATCGTTGGTGGACATAGAAGAAGGAGCCGTGACGAATCATCCCACTTCAGGGCTCAGTGCACAGTGCAGCCACCCCGCAAAACATAATAACTCTTCCGTTACTAATAATTATGACTGTTCATATATGAAACTATACTGACTTCTACTACACTCGTCTTCCCCATAAAAAAAAGTCAACATCATAAATTCAAAATTAACTCAACTTTCAAAATAAAATAAATTCACTTTCAATAAAATGCAACCAAAATTTCTTCTTCCCATTATTCATTAATAATTTTACAAGTCCAGCCTGTGAGGCTTTCGCACAGTCCGTGCAGACTTCCTCAGCGAGGGTGGTGGGCTGCACTGTGCTAGCGGCGACGCAGGAGTTGGCTGAGGCTGGGCTTGCCCTAGGCTCTCCCTGGGACTGGTAGTAGGCCTAGGTACAGGTGACATCATCATGGGACTAGTTGGTCGATCCTCCGGCGGGGGTGCTTGGGTACTTGGGGTGATACAACGGGATCCTTGGGTGATACAAAAATCTCCTCCTCTTCTGCATACCGAGCTCTCAAGTGATCCGCATGACAAAATCGGGGTTTTCCACCAATAACACTCACCAGATAGGTGACCGGACTTCTCTTTAGAATTATTTTGCCAGGAACCCAAGATATCTTTTCATTTCGGACAGTTTTGACATAGACTGCCTGACCTTCTGAGAAAAATCTGCTTCTTCCCCTAAGCCTATCAGCTGCATCTTTTTGTTCCCTGTGTTTTTGATGAATGGATGACTGGAGATTGGGTTTTAACATAACCAACTGAGTACGAGGCTTCCAAGACAGGAACATTTCTGCAGGGGTTAAGCCAGTAACTGTATTTGGAGTGTTGCGGTACGCAAACAAGAAATTATCTAATTTCATTTGAAGAGTGGTACGCTGAGAACGCTGATGTTCCTCAATCACTTGACGCAAAAGGTTTTTCTTGACCTCCTGAACACTTCTCTCTGCAGATCCATTTGAAGCCGCATGATACGGGGGAGTTAATGTGAACTTCACATTGTTGTTATGCAAAAAGGTTTTGAACTCTTGACTAGTAAAAGATCTTCCGTTGTCCGACACCAGTTCGACAGGCAATCCATACGATGAAAACAAGGTACGGAGTTTCTCAATCACCTTGGAAGAATTCATGGAACTCATGATAAATACATCTAACCATTTAGAGTATGTGTCAATCAAAACTAAAAGTTGCTGTCTCGACTCTGGATCCTCCGCAAAGTCAATGTGTATCCTCTGCCATCGAGTTGATGTTGTAGGCCATTGCTGCAACGGTACTTTAGGTACCGAATTCCTAGTTAACTGACAAGCAGAACAAGAAGCCACTACGTCCTCAATCGACTTTTCCATGCCTGGCCACCAGACATAACTTCTCGCCAGCATCTTCATGCGCGTAACTCCCGGGTGTTGATCATGCAACATTTGAAGCACAGATGAATACAGTTTCTTTGGAATCACTACACGAGAACCCCACAGCAAACAACCTTGTTCCACGGACAACTCGTCCTTCTTCCTTAGATAGCTAGTTCCGGCTCAACAGAGCTCGTCCAGCCGTACATCACAAAATCTCGGACCTTCGAAAGAATCGGATCCTTATCCGTCATTTTACTTATATGCAAGGCAGTAATAGGTGCAATGTCCTTGACAACACAGAAATTGTTCATCACTTCTGTACACACATCTACATGTGAAACAAAATTAGCATCCAGCTCTATAGGTTCCGCTTCTGCTAAGGGTAACCTAGACAACGCATCAGCGTGAGGGACATCCACTCCCTTCCGGTACCTAACCTCCAAATCATATGCTGATAGAATCAAGGCCCATCTCTGCAGCCTAGCTGCCGCCATACTAGGAACGCCCTTTTTAGAGCCAAAAATAGCCGTCAACGGCTGATGATCAGTCTGTAGAATACAGTGTCGTCCATATATATACTTATGAAACTTTTTGACTCCAAAGATCAAAGCCAGAGCCTCCCGATGTAACTGGGAATAATTCCGTTCACTGGAACTTAGCGTTTTCGATGCGAAGGCAATTGGCCTTTCCTGTTCATCGATAAGATGAGATAGAACAGCAGCCACCCCTCTGGGACTCGCATCACACGTCAGAACTATGGGCTTTTTAACATCATAGTGAACTAACAAACTTGAGTCCAACACCCATGATTTACTCTCCTGAAAAGTCTTAGAACACACCTCCGACCACACCCATGGATGATCCTTATGTAATAAGTCATAAAAACAGCTTATTCTAGCAGACAGGTTAGGTATAAATGCATGATAATAATTTATTAGACCAATATAGGCTCGTAACTCTTCCTTAGTACTAGGCTCAGGCGCTTTACGCAGCGCAGTTAACAAACTTTCTTGTGGACGGAGACCATCTCGAGTAATCACATGTCCTAAATACTCGCTTGAAGATTGCAAAAACTTACACTTTTGTTGGTTTACTCGAACACCAAACTCATCAAGGCGTTGCAGCACCTGCGCCAGACGGGCAAGCCCCTCTTCCTTAGAGCGAGCCGCCACTAAGACGTCATCTAAGTACGCCACCGTTCCTGGAAGACCTGTTAAAATTTGGTCGATGGCTGACTGAAAAATTGCAGGAGCTGAAGACAAACCATATGGTAGCCTTTTTAAACGATACAGACCCTTATGGGTAGCTAGGGTCAACAGATGTTGCGATTCATCCGCTACCGCCAATTGCTGATACGCATTTGAAAGATCAAGGCAGCTAAAAACTGAGCAACCGCCTAGAGTTGCAAAAATATCTTGAGCCTGTGGAAGCGGATAATGTTCCATTTCAATACACTGATTAAGAGTAATCTTATAATCGGCACAAAGCCTAACACCATTAGGCTTAGGGACAACCACAAGTGGAGTGCTCCACTGTGAATTAGTAACTCTGTACGCAACATCCTCTTGAACCATGCGGTCCAACTCACTCTCAACTTTCTCCCTTAACGCAAAAGGCACTGGTCTCGCCTTACAAAACTTAGGGACTGTCCCCTCCTTTAAGACAATATGAGCCTTAACACCCTTAATTTCGCCCGTTCCAGGCTGAAAAACTGACTTAAATTTACTCTTCAATTTAGCAATGTCCAAATCAGAACTGTGATCCACAGTGGCTTTACATGAAAACACATTTTGCCAATCTAACCTCAACTGGCCTAACCAGTTTCGCCCCAACAGAATCGGCTGACTCTTACTTTCTAAACTAACTACTTTCAAAGGCAAACTCGCCTGCTGATTATTATATTTAACATTGACATTCACTTGTCCCAGAACAGGTACATCATGACCTGAATAAGTAGTAAGTTTCACATTTGCTGGCCTAAGTTTGAGGTTAGAAAATTTTTCATAAAATATCTCAGAAGGACATATAGTCAAGGCACTGCCTGTATCTAGAATCATTTCTAAATATACATCATTAGCCACTAGGCCTACCTTATAGCCGTTGTCTGATCCTGATTTAAGGTTGTACAGACCTATCTCTGCCATTGGAACTTCTAGGCCTAGGCCTAACTCTTCCTCCACTTGATGGACCCCCATCCTAGGTGTCGACTTTTTACCATGGAAACTAGAAGGTTTCTTGGCTTTACACACTTTCTTGAGATGACCTACTTTCTGACAACCGTGACACTTGTAACTGGCGAACGCACACGCACTAGGCCAATGACCCGCAGAACCACACCTCCAGAAAGAGTTTCTAGAATTTTGATTTTCACTACTCCTATGCATGAAAGTTTTAGGCCTATTTTGACTTTTCACATTGATTTTCGCAATGTCCCCACGAGGTTGCACAAATAGGCTTGACTGCGATTCGGCCTGTTCCAGCCTGAGCGCTGACGCATAAGCTTCGTCAAAGTCCAATTCCTCCGACAACAATTTCTGCCGGATAGTTTCATTAGAAATGCCGGAAATCACTTTGTCCCTCAAAGCGTCTTTCAAAAAGGTACCAAATTTGCACGAACTAGCCAAATGTTTTATTGAAACCACAAACTCCGCTATGCTTTCGCCCGGCTTTTGCACACGAGAGTAGAATACATATCGCTCCGCCACAACCAACTTCTTGGGCGCATAATGTAATTTCAACAACGCTGCAAGTTCATCATAGGTCTTAGAATCTACCTCTACCGGTGATAATAAATCGGATAGGACCGATAAAACCCTGGGACCAATAACTGTAATTAAAACCGACACCTCGTTCTCCTTCTTGACATTGTTCGCTTTGAAAAAATGTTTCAGGCGCAACAAATAGGGCACAATGTCCTCCTCACTTGGATTAAATTCAGAAATCCTGCCAACACTAATACTCGCCATTTTTAATCATCTCAACTATAATACGCACTAAAACAACAACTGTTATCGCGTACTACCCTAACTATGATAAAAAGGTTTATTACCGACTGCGCCAAAATGTCGTAACCTGACCGTTACGTTAGAACACAAGAAAAGTGGACAGTAATTAAGAGAGAACCACTTACTATCGTTGGTGGACATAGAAGAAGGAGCCGTGACGAATCATCCCACTTCAGGGCTCAGTGCACAGTGCAGCCACCCCGCAAAACATAATAACTCTTCCGTTACTAATAATTATGACTGTTCATATATGAAACTATACTGACTTCTACTACAGAAACAAAAATTTTTTATATAAGCTGCCATCATAAATACTACTTTATGAACGGAATATGAGAAAATAATGTATATAAGGAACTTTCAAGAGTTAGCAAAAAACTTGTATTAATTAATTCAGTTTGTACAAAAATTACGATTTATTTTTTTTTTTCAAATAAAAACCTCAAATTCTACTTGGATATTAACTCTAGATTAAAAGCTAATTAATTGTATTCTATTCGTACTTTGAGTTGATATTTGTTACAAGCAAAGGTAACTTTTGACAAAAATTGCAAGTCGTATCTACTCAAGATGCTAAACTAAGTTTTATTAGAAAAGTTGGAACTCCTTCAAAACACTGTTGAAAGTTGAACGACACACTGGGTAGTTGGCTTTTGTTGTACTTCGGTTAATGTGGTCCAAAATAAGGAATATTTCTTATACTAAGACACTATTGATTTAAAGGGACATAATAAAAGGGTGACGACAAAATTATCAGGTGACCTTTAAAGGTTGTGTAAAATTTGAAGTATTAAAACAGCTGTTTTAGTGATATACCTTTAGAGGTACCATAGAGCCAACACACAGTAGACTACCCATCCAATGTAAAAATTTAAAGCCAAAAATGTGGTGCAACCTGTTGAGATGGTCTACGAACTAATAACAAAATTATATGTTTAAGTGATGAATCAATCAGCTGTTGGCATGGACTTTATTAATATTAACCATTGACTATTGGATACTGAAGTAGACATCCCATCTACATGGATCAGCTGTCACCAATGTTTTTTAAGAACAAAGATGTTTGAGCAGACACAGAATGTGCTAGTGTCTAAAATTCTATTTTCTACCTTATTTTTTGTTGCTGATTTAGTTGATGAGTCGTAAGAGTTGATATATCGAAAAACCTACCGAGAGTGTCCAAAACAAACAAGGAAATAAATTGCCAATAAGCCCCCAGTTAATAAACTGATATCAGTTCTTTTGCCGAGAAACATAAATTCTCTTTGACCAATGCCAGGAACCCCTTAAGCGATATCTTTTGTTTTACTCTGTTTGCAATTTATATTGATGTAAACAAATTAAATTCTTTTTATGAAGTCATTAAGTTTGTATTCAATGCAAATCCGATTAGTTTTAACATTTATCGTTTTGAAGTAAACTAATTATGAATAGATATAAAATGTCTTCATAGCTTTTTTAGGTAAATAAAATGTTACGTTTCTTGGAAATCGTAAATTCAGGCTGTATTTACTATACTTGACCTGAGCCAGTGGTCCCAAAGCCCTTATTCAAGGTATTCACCTATTAAGACATAAAACCATGTATTTATCGCTGAGAGCATTATCTATGTCTTTGAAATCTCCCTAATCACGAAACCGACAACTAACAAAAGAGAACAAAATCTTCATTGAAAACCTTTATCAGAAAAAGATTTTTTTTATTTAATGCATTAAGGTTGGATTAGTTGCTCAACACTCCAAGTTTTAATATATTACCTGAAGCATTTGCAGCGCATTAAAAAGTTTGAAACATTCGCCTCAGTTAAGGTTTCATAGAACACCTTGAGCGAAAACTTTTCTCCTCGCCCCCAGTTTGGAGTTGGTTCTTAGTTTATACTTTTCACTATGACTAAGTAAGAGCCAAGCAGCAATACGTGTCAAATATATAGGTGTTTATTTATTATATGCTCCTACGTTCATATATGCTACAAGAACTAGATGAAATACACCCCCGCCGCAGCAAACCTGCAGACTAAGCGAATTTCCATTT